ATTTAAAAATGATAATTGATCAAATATCAACTCTCTAAATCTCTTACTTTAAATGGAAAATGTAATTTTATATATTGTTTTATATAACCAATTAATATATCTGATCAATTAATATACCTGATCATTTAGAAGTTAAAATAATATACCGAACAATAAAAATACTAATTCAAATATGAAAATATGAAAGAGGGTCATCTATAAAATATTACTTCAAGATAGTTCACATGTATTTTATTTATAGAAGTGTAAAACAATATGCATATTTCTTTTCTTGTAACTTGATTTTAAACTTTTTATCTGAACATATTTTTTTTCTCAATTTCAAATATGAGTAGAAAAAGAGGTAATAATTTTATATAATTTGTATAGATTATTTTATATTATTTACTTATTTATATACTAAAAAAATAGGAATACATAATTATACTTCAATGTCATCACTATTGATATTTACTTCTAATTGTTTATTGATATCCACTTCTAATCAAATATTAATATCTACTCCTAATTGTAATGATTATAATATGCACTCATTTCAATATTAAAATAATTCGAACACACCAAGAAGACACCATCAATTTCCAATTCATCTATAACTGGAAGATATTAAATTATTAAATATCTTTAAATCGATCTTATATTAATTATTATATATTAATTTAAAACATCATCATCATCATCGTGAAACTGATAAATATTTATTTGCTCAACATAAAGAGTTATATCTTCTTATAAAAGAGCTTAGTGAAAATTTATATAATATCAAGAATGAAATAAAAAATAGCATAATGATAAAGAAAAAGAACTTTTACTGTGGATTTTTAATGTATATTTTTCATAATTGTAAAATTAGATCAAGTCAAATTGATTATAATTGATATTTTAAATTAAAAATCAAATCGATTTATATTGATATTTTAAATTTATAGTCATACTTTGTGAATATAGCTAAGCAACTCTTTTTAATTAATTTATATCCTTCACAAAATGAATTTAAAAATATATTAAAAAATTACCTAAATGTAAATCAATCTGAATATATGACAAATATATCAGATAATTAATTTACTAACTGTTTCTATAGTGAATAGAGCAGTTCGATAAGCTATATTATTTATTATTTTTAATAATTATAAATTATTCATTTATATTTTATATACGTATAGTTATTATCAAAAATCAAAAATTATTGTGGGACTGCATTGTCAAATATCAGATCATCGATGTGGCACATTTTCAGTGTGGAAAGACTATACCAGATAAAATGTTACATCTCCTCAGCAGATATTATAGAATGGAAAAAAAATATAAATGTAATCAATTGTTTCTTGTCCCTATTCGAAATAAACAATGATAATCTTTATTGGGTGATGGCTATTACAAGATCTGTCTTCTCAAAGTTAGCAATTCAATACTATCACATGCACATTGCATCTTTACATTAACTATCTGTGATATTTATCTAAATTCACGTTGTTACGACTGAAAATTTATATAATTTCCATAATTTTCATAATTTCCATAATTTTCATAATTTTTATAACTTTCATAATTGTAATAATTAAAACAATTATAATAATTACCATCATTTACAACAATTACAGTAATTATCATCATTTATAACAATTATCATTATTTACATAGTATTTATTATTTATCAACTTATATAATTAATCATAAATATAATATTTATTAGTGGAAAATATTTATTATAAATAAAGTGCAATTGAAGCTTTAAAAAAAGGTATCAATTGATCAATACAAAAATCTAGCTAGTCAATAAACTGTTTCTTGTTTATTATTAATAAAATTTGTATACTTAATTGATTGAAATAACTTATTAAAATACTTGCATTTATTGCACATATTGAATAACTGCCAAAGTTATTATAGAATATCAGTATTATATTGTTATAGGACTGTTTCACACTAAGTAGATATAACATCTATTAGTAATAGTGAGAGCTTATTTACAAGATAGAAGAAAATACACTGCATGATGATCCTGAAGTATACTTTTATAACGAGATCAAGTGATCATAAAATTACTGTTATTAGATATTGGTTGAACACCTACGTCATGATAACATCTAACAGAAGCCTGATCGTGACATCGTTCAATTGTTCGTTCACTCATTCGTTTAGTTATTCATTTGCTCGTTCATTTAGTTATTCGTTCACTCACTTGTTCGCTTACTTCACGTGATTTGATCTTTATTCAATAAAATATGAGATATGTATAATCCAAAAATAAAATATTATGATGAAAGATCATTATATAATAATATAGATTATAGCTAAACTAGCAATAAAAATGACAATATAATACTAGCAAAACAAATAATTAATATCATAACAAAAGTAATATTCATAAAATTATCAAATATTATAAAAGTAATATAATATAACTAGTAATTTGAAATAAGTTTTTCTTGTATAAGAAGTTTTTTATATGTTAGAACTTTAGTAATAACTTAATAAAATTATATTTTATTAATTTTAATCTTAAAAGATAAATTACTTATAATAATTAATTTGTTGTATTATTATCATTTTGAGCTTTTGCATATGAAAGTATTTCAAAATGATAATAATGACTGTTATTATAACCTGGAATTATCTCTAATTCCTTAAATTTCTTAATTTTAGTTATGTGATAAAACATAGATTGTAGAGATAGCAAAGTTCTCAGATATATTAACATTATTCGCTATATCATATTTATTTAAACATATATAATATATCTTATATTGTAATAACTTAATCATAAAAATATTTTATATAAATAAAGGCTCTTTTGGATAAATCAAAAGGTATCAATTGATCAATACAAAATTTAGCTAGTTAATAAACCGCTTCTTGTTTATTGTTTAATGAAATTGTACATTAATTAATTTTTATAATTATTAATCTTGTTATAACACTTACTTTATACACTACTGGACACTTAACCAGGTTGCTATAGAATATCAGTACTATATTGCTATAAAACTGTCACCACATTAAGTAAATATAAAGAAGATATTTATTAGTAGTAGTGTTACTTATTCTAGACTAATAGAATAGAAGAAATCGCACTGTGTCACAATCCTAAAGTAACTGGATCGAATCACTGAGTTATCAAAATAGATGTTGGTTGAACACATACATTATGAGATTACCTACCTGAGTCCAGAACTCATAATACTGTGTTCATGACAATTTACTTTGAATTTTATAACTAAATGATGTTTTTTACAATAGAATAATGTTTCTTGACAAGATGAAGATAACGATAATAAAATTAAATTAATAACAAGACTAAACTAAAAGAGGACTTAACCAAAAATTATTTGTAATTCCAAAATAAAATCAATTCAACATATCAAACTCGACATTAAACCAAAAGAAACTCAAAACCAAAACTTAAAAACTTAAAATTAAAACTGGAAAACTTAAATCAAAACTAAAGAACTTCAAATAGAAACTAGAGAACTTAAACTAAACTGAGAGAACTTAATTTTTATTAATTATTAGCACTTGTATTTATATATATTTTCATGTTATAGTGACACAATATAATATAGTAATGCACAGTATGATGCAGTTGTGATGCAGTATATGATACAGTAAATTTACACTAATATTATAAAATTACTGATTCTTTTCTAAATTACACAAAATTTAACTATATCATAATTAATAATCTTGTTCTATATCCAAGTACCAATAGCAAAAATAAAAATAGAAGCTAAACTAATATAGAAAATGATAAATTTTTCAAGAAAATAATGTGATTAATATATTCAAATAAAAATAACAATGAAATAAATATAGAAAAATAAGTAATACGAAAAAGAAGAAAAAGAAATAAAAAGAAGTATAATATTATTAAACTAACTATGTAATTCAAATATTATCATAACTAATTTTTATCATAACTACATTTTTTATTTACGTATTCTTATATTGAATTATTAATGATATTGAATCGGTAACAATATTTGACTTGAAAAATAATCACTTAAAAGGCTTATTATTTTGAATTATCATTTTTAAAGTTATAAAGAAATCTAGTAAATTTTAGTAAAGTTATTAAATATTATTCTAGCTCATCAAATATATTATCTATTTTTAGTTATAGTTTTAGTCTCTTTCAATGTAAAAACTTAGTTTCTTTCACCTTTAAATTAGTAAAAATATATAAATAATGCATAAATAACTTAAACTTCACAAAAATAGTAAGTAATTGACAAAATTATGAAAGTATATGTACAATTTTATTAATAAAATATAGTAAAAATTGAAATTTTTGTTTTATATAAAAGTTTTAATTTATTAACAAATATTTTTTATTTTTATATCAAAACAAAGATTATAAATTATATTTTTTTTGGATTTTTTGGATTTTTTCTAACAAAATTATTCTAATTACAAAGTTATTGCAAAAATTTTTATAATTAATTTTATATTTTAATTATAAAAAATTTTTATAATAACTTTGCAATTAGAACAACTTTGTCAAATTAAAATCTAAAAAAATATGTGTTAAAATGTAATTTATGATCTTTATTTTAATATAAACTAAAAAAAATATTTATTTATAAAATTTCAAACTTTTATATAAGACAAAAATTTCAATTTTATTAATAAAATTGTAGATGATTCCATAATTATGTTGGCCATTGTATATCAATATATATGTTGTGTCTCATATGTCGTTTTGCCTCAGGTGTCGATTCATGTGATCACTCTGGCGAACATTAATCTATTTCACCAGCACTAATCCTAACCCTAACCCCAACTCTAGTAGAACTCCTATTCTAATTTTGGCTGATCGATACCTGAGGCAAATCGTCACCTGAGGCACAACATTGTAAAATCATCATGATCCTGTAATCACCATGATCTTCCACATTAATTAATGAAGTGAAAATTATTACGTGACTTAATTATTAGCATAATATCTCCACGTGGGAGTTATAAATTTATGCAAATTCGAAAATTCGACATTTTTTATAATGTCAGCGCGTCGTATTATTCTCACTCTTTTTACATCCAGGACTTGTTCGATATGCAATGAAGCTAAATTATCACTTGATCGTGTAAGAAAAAAGGTTATTATTTATTTTACCTTATTGATGGAAAGAATTTTTTTAGATTTGATTATTACACACACAGAACCTTTATAATTAGATTCCATTTGACTTGGAACAGAAAGATATATATGAACCCGATAACAGACAATGGTTAGAGCAGTATAAATACGATATCCCAGTATTGCACATGAACAATCAGTTCCTATTTCAACATTGGATCAAAGAAGACAAATTGGAAAACGTATTAAGAAAATATCGAGAAACTGGAATAATTGAACAATCATGATGCTGAATTTTATTTTTCTTTAGTTGGCAGATATTTATTCGGGGAAACAAAAATAAATAAATAAATAAATAAAAATATCTATCATCAACTCATTGGTGATGTGTTGCTAGGCATCATTCTCATCATCGTAACCATAAACTTCTATTGTATTATTCAACATGCCAATTATTAGCTCAGGACGACCATCATTGTTAGCATCACCGATATCAATTGCAGAGACTAAATCGTCTGTTATGATGGACCGCAAAGGCTGTTGTATTTTAAATTTAATTCTTAAAAAAATGCAACTTCAATAATCCGAATTAAATCTGAGATGTCAATGGTACATACCTCGCAATCTTTAAAAATCCGGACTTCATTAAAGTGGCCAATGCAAACTAAAAAGTCTGTTTCAGTGCTTTCCAAGTTATGTGGTCTGAATCTTTTGACATCCGTAATTGGATTGTCCATTTTCAACATATTATGTATCTTTTTCATGGGAGAAGAAAATCATGACGTGGATTTCCTTGAAGTAAATAATTAAAAGAAATCAATCACTACTAACTGTATAATCTTCCATTATGTAAATATTCCCATCCTCACAGCCGAGCACGACTTGTACAGCGGATGGCATATCATATCGTATATTGACCACTTCTGGATCGAAAATATCTTTCCTGCGAAAGTATCCAGAACACATCTTATGAAAGAGTTAATACTTTATTCGAGAAAAAGATTATCGATTTGTAAAACTTTTACTTACTGCATTCGCAATGGATGAAGATGGTACTATGATACTTAAAGTTCTAATACCACTTTGAATTAAATGTACATATGGACTTCTATCACAAACAAGTAGAAACTTTGTCGGAATCTGAAACTGATCGAGAAGAGTAACATGAAGCATGCAACGTATTGAAGGATCAAATGACATGCCCTAAAAAATAGAATAAAATAAGACCTGGCTAAAACCGAAATACAAAAAATCGTGATGGATAAAAAATATTATGCCTGTTCCAGCTCATCGCGTGGTAAAATGTCCGTTTGATCAGTCAATTTTAACCGCCAAACATCCTGGTATAAAGTAAGCGCGGATAATACTCCAGCCGAATCACCAATGACAAGTTCATGACCGTTGACTTAAAAAAAATTAATTGCATATTTACAACAAATTAATCATTAAGGTAATTCATAAAAGAAATGGTTCAATACCAGCATCGCGAAACATTGTCATGTGTTTCACTGCGGCACCTAATTCTCGTTTGACCACTAATTGTTGTTTTTCGAAAATCATCACAGAGCCATACGAATCACCAACGATAATATCAGGTATACCAAATCCAGTAATATCACAAAGTACAATAGATTGTATAGGACCACTTTTCGTTTCCATCATGATTCCTTCCTGAATTCAAGTAGGTACCATTAAAGAGGAGATTAAATCTATAATGAGCAAAATTAAACTTGTAATAGCAGAAATGGAAAAAGGGATATAATCAGGCATCCGCTGCATTTTAGACGAAATAATGATCAATTTGCTTACCTTATCCTCACCAAACATAAATATTTTTCCTTCATTTGTTCCAACTATAATATGTGAGGTTTCTTTAATGACTGCTTTTGAAGATCTTTCTGAGGGAAGTGCTCCTACTATTAGGCAGTTCACAGAAGAAGCTAATTTTCGCGTCCAAAGACGCTTAAAACTCGGTAATGTTATGCGAGTTCGTTTATTGGGACGAATTGCAAAGTGAGGAGGTGGAGAGTGTGACCTTGAAGACTTATCCACACCTCTTAATTCTGTATTTATCAAGGTATCCATATTTGACGCGTTTAGAGTTCATCAAATATATATCGACAAACTCGAGATTTTTTGTGTAGAATAAATAATAAACTAGCCAATAATGTGTAACCAAGTGAAAAGTTTATCTTCATTATTTGTTTATTTTTAGACACAGATACAAATTCTCACAATGAGCTTCCAAGGCGTCCAACCTTATGCAATTTATCATCCACAGCATTCAGGCTCGCCTCCTCCCTTACAACATCCCATACCACAGCATCCTATACATATGCGAGAACCACCTGTCTCTTCACCCTCTCCTCCAACACAACAGCGCTTTTCTCACCCACAACAAAGTCCACCCGACCTTAATGCCATATGGAATTTTAATGACAGTACTGCACAAATGGGAATGCAGTTTGGCAAAACTGCTGTATTGGCGGGAAGTGATTTTGTCGAGGAAAAAGTAAGTTGTTTCAAGGTGTTTTTATATGAGCTTCCATTATGGATCAAAAGAATTGGTTAAAACATCGGATCTTTGTTTTTACCTGTTGATTTGATAAGATCGATCACTTTTTGAAACAAATTTTTATCTTTATTAACAATTATTAACAAATTACAGATTAACCGTTACGTAAACTACCCGGCTTTGAAACATTATTTCAAAGTCAATAATTCTTATGTAGCAAACAAGATTAGGCTATTGATTTTTCCATGGAGACATAAGGTAAACAGGCAAGTCGAATTTCAGGAGTATTTTTTAATTTTCATTTTTTCGAATTCTCCATTACTATAATTGAATCTAAATTAGCAACATTAAGGATTAATTATTATTGTTTTTTTTTTTAGCAAATTTAGTGTTTCAATTATCGCCTTTCATTTATTTTACATAAAACGCGTTTTTTAAGCTTTTTTGAAGTTGATTATTTCTTTATTGTGGATTATTAATTATAGATATGGTCACGGCTTGTAAAGCGGTCAGAACAAAACGGTCAAATGGAGGGATATAAGCCACCGAGAGAAGACATAAATTCTCCAGATTTATACATACCAGGTATTTTTGTTAGTTTGATCTTTTTGCTTGATTAAGCAAAATATTTACTATTACATCTGATCTTATATTAGCCATGGCACTTGTAACATATGTCTTATTGACGGGAATTGTAGCGGGAACTGAACATAAGTAAGAAATCTTGTTTTTCCCACTTTTCATCATAAGCATTCTGTTTACCAAAATTTTGTTCTCGATGACGCGTATGAATAAATAGATTTCACCCAGAAGTATTGGGCATGAACGCCACCACGGCATTTCTTTTAGTTTTATTAGAACTTTTTTTCATAAAGACTGGATGTTATTTATTGAATATATCTTCTGAAACACATCTTTTGGATTTAATGGCTTATTCGGGATACAAATTTATTGGGTGAGCATCCTTGGGTGTTTGATGATTCATTTATTTATTTTCTTAAAAATTAATGGTCTCCTGCTATTTAAAGAACTATTATTACACTTGTGGTCACATTAATTGCACCATTCTGGGTTGTCGCGGCTACTTTTATCTATACGGCTTTTTCTACTGGGTTTTTCTTGGTAAGATTTTGCAGAGATATTCAAATACTCGTAAACGATATTTCTAAAAGAACTTTCTAAACCTTTACAATAATATTTAGCTTCGCTCTTTGCGTTATGTCGTCTTTCCTGATTCGACAACAACAGTTAATGTTCCGCAACGTAAACGAAGGATCAACTTTCTATTTTGTATTGCGGCTCTTCAAGTTGTTTTGATGTATTTTCTTGTAAGATAGAATCATTATCATTATTTTAAAGATTTGTACAAACACTTTAATTTATATCCGGTGTTATGATTATTTGGATGATTTTACTATGATAAAAGTATTATTTCCTCCGGCACCGTAAGCTACTTCCTCCTCTGATTTGTAAACGTTAATTTATCCCATTTAAAGTGTTTTCTTTCAGTTTTGGTTTAGATTCATGTTTTTATGTCGAATTTGTAATGCTGTTAATGAGAAGATTTTACCCAGAATCTTCATATATAGATTTTTATGTATCTAGATAGCTTTGTATTGCATGTATGAACGATAAATTTTAAAGACAGAAGCAAGCGTCAAACAACTTGCTATAGATACACCTAATGAATCACACGAGTCACAGATCACGGATAATTATTTAATCGATTCAAAACAGAAGATTGATTATCAGAGAACAGAATTATCTGCGAACCCTACAAGTCATATTTTAATCAAGTTTTTTAGGTCAATTTTGGATGTTACAAGAATAAAAGCTCTCATTATTAGTTAGCTCAATTCATTAATGTGTATTGGAACAATAGAATAGAGCATAATTCGCTTAAAAAAATGGTTCTTCAAAAACGCGTTCCATTTCAAAAAAAACTTGCAGCATTGCGTAATGATCATTGTGTTGAAAAAAAGCGCGTGGTTGTATTACCGATAACAAGGAGGAAAACGGTGAAAAAAATACCAAATACTCATTTACTTCATCTCACGGTTTGTGTTGTACATTAACGTTAATAATGACTATGCGATAAATTTCCCCTTGAGAAAAAGAAAATATTTTAGGATACAATTACGATAATTACCACCATTGTTAGAGATCATGCGAGATACCGCGAACGGAGAACCTTGGAGTACACACTGTCTACAATTTACGTTATTCTTCACCGTCTGTCTTTTTCTGTTTCGATGTTGGTTATTCAACACTGCTACCGTTTCGTTTTACGCCGAATTCTAGAAAATTATTTTTAGTTACCGTCAATAGATTTGTATCGTGGTGCAAATTGGATATTTATGGTAAGGAAGAGTTTTTGATCGTGTGAATGTAGTGGTATGTCTGATCGGGAAGTTTGAATTTAAATTTTGAATGAGTCGATAGATAAAAAAACCCCTTGATAAACACATAACGATAATGATACGTAATGATATAGTGGAGTATTGTTACTAATTTTCCGAGCTGCGAATTACTTGCTATTCGCGAATTTCCCAATCTCATGTCATTGGTGATGAATGATGATAATAATAAATGTGAAGATGATTGGGTGAAGAGGTAGAGCATTGATCTTGTCGGAAAATATGGATTAATTAAAGAAAATCATTGATTGCATCAACTTTACGCAGCACATGAAAGCGTAGTAAATTGTGAATGAGGCGCATTTTTACTGTGATGATATATTATCTTATTTTAAAAAATATATATATGATTTGGCTGCGCAAAAGAAACAAACGCCGCATGACCCTTCTAATTACAGTTGTACAATTGTTATTGATGCCGTTTAAGCTTTTGTATAACAAAAACATACCACACCATACCTATTAATTAAACCTTGCTCTCGCCTAAGATTTTGATTGCGTGCGAGTATCCTTTTTTTTTGTGTATTTGTGTATCTGTGTATTTGTATAAATATTGTATAAATAAGCTCGATTTTTTTCTTGACTTTCACTTTTTATTTTTTTTTTGAAAATCAACTTCCAAGTTTCTTTTGAGCCTTATGAAACATTGATATTCTAGTAGAATTCAAATTAACTTGCATTTTGATAGACATTAAAGGAATTCAAAAGAAAAAGCAGCAACCTTACAAACACATTACATACACGCATTAGGTAATATAACAATTATTTGGCGAGGAAAAGAACAACAAAAAGCAACAATAATACACACAATGTCGCAAGGTAAGAAGAAATTCAGTCCCTCCGTGGGAATGATTAACAACTTTTTTTCGCGTCAAATACAAAAGTTACAATTACCTTCATTTTCGTATAATAATTCCAATCAACAATCAGACTATCAAAGGCAAAATCGATTTGTTCCGCCACCATTGATCAAAGAACGTTCATGGAGCATGCTGGCAAATGAAACGTTTCTTGACGACGAAGATTATGACGACTTTTCATACTTTAATGTAAATAATAATAACAGCACTAATGGATACCGTAACAACAACAACAACAACAACAACAATAATAATTATCCTCAAAGTTTTGGAACGCCTTCTTTATTAAACGAAAAATCGTGGAGTGTGCTATCAGTAAATAACGATTCGGAAGAGCGAAGATTTCTCACCAACCACCCTTACAGCAACAACACAGATAACTTGAGTCGTAACTACAGTAATAATGTTGGGTATAATAATGCAACCTATAATCGTGAACAAAGTCTTCCCGCGCCAATTACGCGAGAAACCACTGCATTTCCAGAACCAGAGTTTGAGCCATCGCTTGCATCATCGGCAAACCAGTTTCTAGAAGAGACGTTCAAATTTGAGGGTAAATTCCGCGATGATTCTGTCGGACGTCCTGATGATTTGTTGGTGGATGGCAGAACCCTTATCGCTTTCTACAACCATGAGAAACATGACAGCATCATTGACGAAGACGGAGAATTAACACCGCGATCAAGTAAGATATTAAAGGCGCAGCAGCAGCAGCAACAATCACCACCTCTGCCGCAGCCAATATCACAACAAATGTTAGTAGAACAGGAACAGGAGAACGTAGGAATTGGATGGTATACAAGTGTCGCGGTCCCGGTGATCGCAATCGCTGTGGTGGGATACTTTGTATTTTTCAACTGTCAATAAGAAAATAGAAGTTACTTCGTTCACCATCTTTGTCTTTAATGCAGCATAGTTTCTATTTCTAATATAATACTATTTAGCTCTCGTTTTTCCTTAGTTTCTGAATATATATATATATTTTTATTTTATAGTTCTTTTTCTTTTTTTTCTCTTTTGAATTAAAATACATTTTTTAAGCCACCCACCCAACCATTTCTGTACAAAACTCTCTTATTGCACAAATTGTTTTTTTTTTAATAGAATGCACACTTTATATTTTTTCCAATCCTGGTTTCTTGTTTTTCTTGCACTTTTTTTTCTTGTATAAAATTTCTTTATTCTTGTTATTGTTTTTGTCAAAGAAATGCCAAAAATTACGCGTCTTGTTTCATTTAAAAATTATCCACCACCACCACAATCACCATCATCACCAAGAACAACAAGAACATTTTTTTCAACACGCATGTATCTTTCTTATTTTGCTGTACACAACACTCAAGTTCTATACATAACAAAGCACGCGTATTATCGCATAGCAGAAAAAAAAGTGAATGAAATGCATGTAATGTATTATCGCGAAAAATACCGACGATCAGATCGTGTAGCACGTCTTATCCTGGTCGGCAACAATAACGATAACAATAATTGTGATGGTATACCAATCGTTTTACCGACCACTGACATGCCTATCATAAAAGGAAATAATGAGATTAGAAAATGATAATTCTTAATGACTAACCTGCTTGATTGCTTGATTGCTTGCTATCACTCATACTAGATATCAAAAACAACTTGCAGCACCGTTCCGTATAAATTCTCACGCATTGATCATTTGACCCCCTAAAAATAAAATCAGATGGGTGGTAGAGATAGCAGTAATACAGTTATCAATCGTATCATGGTTGGGAGGCTTATCTTTCACACCCTTCCTCCCCAATCAGTTACATATCGTATCATTAGAATGGAAAATTTGTAATTTAATAATAAAAGCTATTAAAAACATAATAAAAATGAATTAATTATTACAAAACATCGTCGACCCGATCCTATATGCAATTTTATGTGTAAAATTCTTTATTCGCTCTTGCACTCTATGAACCAATAAACCGTGATTTTTGCAACTGGCTCAAGCATTGCATCATTTAGAATAACCTCTGATTCTTTTTCCACTTTACCACTCATGAAACCGGGATTGAAATTGCAAGTTGCGGTGATCGGACCTGATTTATTATTAGAATTATTATTGTAATTATAATTATAGAACGTATAAATTATAATTATAGAACGAATAAAACAAAACAAACTAAATTACCTCTTGCTTTTTTAAAGTACTGTATCAGTTTTTTCTTAGTGTTAGACATTTTATGCGGATCGAAAAATTGAACATTATAAGGAAAAAAACCTACCTCACAATTTATTCTAGTGATTATTGCGCGATCTTTCTTGCTCAATTGTGAAAATACTGCTAGTCCACCTATTGTTTCGCCAAATGTGCAGAGAGCGGCCGCGTGAATGCTATTAAATGGGTTGTGTATACGCTTTTCTTCCTATGTTTGATAGTAAAAAAAAAATACAATTAACATTCAAGAATATCGTCGCAACGGTCATTATCGTAATTTTGATACCTTTAAAATTGCAGAACATAAACCCTTATCTAGCGTTGTGACACGAAAATCTGTTCGACATGTACAGTATAGAACGATTAATTATCAAAATTGTAAAAGTAAAAAAAAATAATAAATCACAAAACTCACGAATTCCACTAGTATAAGGAATCGCGTATCTAAGCAAGAAAGAAAATGCTATAGGACGTAGTCTTCTTGCACGTGCCAGTGTTTTCCATACGTGGATTGGGTCTCGTACTAATAAACGAAGAATGAAAGTAAATATTGATATGGTTCATTGTAATTTTTGAAAATGTGAGTTGTTAAATAACTTTTTTGAAGAATTGGGACACAGTTACAATAACATACATTTACTTGCGGTTTGCGATAATCTTATTGAAAAGGCTATTATAATAATAACAAGCACACTGAAGGCAATAACGTAAAGTAAAACCATAGTTTCAAAAATTATTTTGAAGATCGACACATTCGATTGCATAAACCAATAAAGAAAATTTGTGATTGATCGACGTGATTGGCAATGTGTGTATGCATAAAAAAACTAAGACAAAAAAGTTAGATCACTGTTGTTAAAAAAAATGGAGAAAATGGAAGACCCTCTTTATGACGAATTTGGCAATTATCTTGGACCTGAACTTTCCGATTCGGACGAGGATGTTCAAGAAGCGCCTCAACAAGCTCAAGAAGAGGAAGTTGAGGAACAGCTCGAAGAACAAGAGGGAGACGGAGACGAAGACGAAGAAGTGCCAAGCATGGCTTTGATGGAAGTTGATGGTATGTTTGGAAAATATAACTTTACTCTTAAATATTTTTAATTACCAATAGATATATAATTACTCTATAAAAAATTGGGAGAAAATCAATTATGCTATCTTGATTAAAAAACGCGCCTTTAATTCTTGCCAGTTTCACCAAATTTCGTTTTTTTTTACTATACATTTTTTTAATATTCAACTGAAAGCCCCGGCTTATTCCATCCATTCTCAGATGTTCGGCAATCGCAAGTAGTACTTCATGAGGATAAAAAATATTATCCAAGTGCTGAGGAAGTTTACGGGCCTGAGGTTGAGACGTTAGTGCAGGAAGAAGACACGCAACCATTGTCCGAACCCATTATTGCCCCGATAAAAATAAAGAAATTCCAAATTACTGAAAAAAATTTGCCAGAGACAAGATATAAAAAAGAGTAATAATTTCATTTGTTTGCTATGATTGAATTTTGAAAAAATTAGATTTTTAAGATGACTTGGTATATTCAGATTTTTGGTCGATATGATGAATTTCCCTGAATTAGTGCGAAACGTCGCTATTATTGGTCATTTACATCATGGAAAGACTTCATTCGTTGATATGCTTGTTAATGAAACTCATTCTTCTGTCGCGTGGGATGTGGATCGACAGGTAAGCAAATTCTAGCAATTGATTGTGATTTCTCGGACCACATATTGACTTAAATCTTATAGGAACGATACACTGATACTCACACTCTAGAAAGAGATCGTGGGGTCAGTATAAAGAGTATGCCAATGACACTTATTTTGCAAGATACAAAGGGGAAATCTTATTTATTTAATATTATTGATACACCTGGTACTTTGATTTTCGACTATTCTTTGAATATTACGATTTTACGAGAGTAAATTCACACGACTTTTACAATAAATAGGACATGTTGATTTCGTGGACGAGGTGACTGCCGGACTCCGAATCGCTGATGGTGCTGTTATTATAGTTGACGCGATCGAAGGAGTAAGTTCTTCGATGTTGATTCAATTTTTTTATTATTTTCTCATTTCTTATTGATTTATATTTTTATCAGGTTATGGCTAATACTGAACGCGTAATACGACATGTCATACAAGAGAAACTAGCATTTACATTGGTGGTAAATAAAGTTGACCGATTAATTTTGGAACTTAAATTACCACCTAATGACGCGTACTTTAAATTAAAACACACTATAGAAGAGGTCAACAGCATCATAAGGTTAGAAGATGCTATTTTATTTGAAATCGCTCGTAAATATGGATGCTTACTATACGATCTACGATAATAGTAAATGCGCACCGGGACAAGATCTTCGAGTTTCGCCTGAGCGCGGAAATGTATGCTTTGCTTCTACTCAGATGGGATGGTGTTTTACACTGAAATCTTTTGCCAAAATTTATGCAGATACCTATGGTAATAAAAATAATTGGTTTTTTACCTTTTTTAAGTATGTATAAAAACATATCTTTTTTCTTTAGGTAATATCAATCCAGACGGTTTCGCAAAGCGTCTTTGGGGTGACATTTTCTTCGATGCTACCAAACGGACATTTACTCGTCGTTCAGTAGATAAGAGTATGCGATCTTTTGTGTATTTTATAATGCAACCATTGTATAAAATTTATGCTCAGGTATAGATCATTCGCTTTCCTATTAATGTTAAAGCTGATCCTAAATAAATATGTTAGTAATACGTGAGACTTTTAAACTTTCTAGGTTATTGGGGAGGATGAAAAAACATTAAAAAAGACATTAGCCTCGTTGGGCATAAACCTTAAAGCATCACATTACCAATTGGACGTCAAACCATTGCTACGAATAGTACTGGATCAATTTCTTGGACCGGCTACTGGTTTTGTTGATATGGTTATCCAAAACATACCATCACCCGAAAATAATGCTGTTAACAAGGTTTGCTTCAATTTGGTGACTTTCATAAGTGTAAAAAAATAAAATTATAAGGTTCATATCTTTTTTAATAAGGTCGAACATATTTATACGGGACCGATGGATACCGAAGTTGCGGAAGCAATGAAAAAATGTGATTCTGATGGTCCGCTTATGATCCATATCACTAAACTATATAATTCTAGTGACGCGTCAATCTTTGACGCGTTTGGTCGTATTCTAAGTGGAACGGTACGAAAAGGACAATCTGTGAGGGTTCTTGGCGAGGGATATTCTATTGAAGATGAAGAAGATATGACAATACAAGATGTTAATAATGTCTGGGTATTTGAATCAAGGTAAGCTTTAACAGCTACAATTGTTTTATAATTAAAAAAAGAGTTTTGCTAATATTTATATAAATAATTAATTGTAGATATAGGATAGAAGTAGATGGAGTACCCGCAGGCAACTGGGTACTTCTTGGAGGGATCGATAACTCAATAGTGAAAACCGCTACTGTAACAAACAAAAATGTAAATGAAGATTTATATATTTTCCGACCTTTGTCATTTGTTACGACTGCTGTTCTTAAAGTTGCTGTAGAGCCAGTTAATCCTTCAGAGTTACCGAAAATGTTGGATGGGCTAAGAAAAATCAATAAAAGTTATCCGATTGTAATAACAAAGGTATGAAACAATATCATATAAATATTGAGGTGAATTTTGTAGTCTCTTAACTTGTATTTTTTATAAGGTTGAAGAATCCGGCGAGCATATCATATTAGGCACGGGTGAATTATACTTGGACTGCGTACTTCATGATCTAAGGCGAATGTACGCGGAAATTGAACTTAAAGTATCGGATCCGGTAGTTCGATTTTGTGAAACTGTCGTTGAAACCTCTGCATTGAAATGTTTTGCAGAGACACCAAATAAAAAGTATATTTCTTGTATAAGTAATATTCTTATATTAGTTTATCTTTTCTTTAACAAAGCTCAAATGATTTTTATGATATTAATAGGAATAAATTAACAATGATTGCCGAACCATTAGAGAAAGGCGTCGCGGAAGATATTGAGTCAGGAAAAATTAATATTAAGATGCCAATGAAAGAAATTGCGAAATTTTTTGAAGAAAAATACAATTGGGATATTTTAGCATCTCGTTCAATTTGGGCATTTGGCCCAGATGAAAATGGACCAAATATACTCTGTGATGATACGCTGCCTTCTGAAGCAAGTTGTCATTTACTGTGAATATATTTAGATTGTTATGATATAATATTAAGGATTTCTTCATTGGCGTGTTTTAGGTAGATAAGAAACTTCTTTCGTCTGTACGAGATTCTATAAGACAAGGGTTCCAGTGGGGTACACGTGAAGGTCCTTTATGTGATGAACGTAGGTTTCGCTCTCTTATTTTATTTTATTTTATTTTCTAGATTACTTGAGTAATTGTAAACTTTTATTATTTTAGCGATACGGAACGTGAAGTTTCGCATCTTGGATGCAGTTATAGCACCAGAACCAATCTATCGAGGAGGTGGTCAAATAATACCTACAGCAAGACGTGTTTGCTATTCAGCCTTTCTGACGGTATTTGACAGATTTTCATTATCAATTTAATGATAATCATTCTTTAATAATTGAAAATTTATCATCAAAACAGTCCACTCCAAGATTGATGGAACCTGTATATTATGTTGAGATACAAGCTCCGGCTGATTGTGTTTCAGCTGTATATACTGTATTAGCGCGTCGAAGGTATCTTTATTTTATATCGATCTTTGATCTTCGCGCAGCTAGTTTTTAATAATATTCATAATTTTTAGAGGTCATGTTACACAAGACATTCCGAAAGCTGGATCACCTTTGTATACCGTAAAAGCTTATATTCCGGTGATTGAGGCCAATGGCTTCGAAACCGATCTAAGAACGCATACTCAAGGTCAAGCATTTTGTCAACAAATGTTTGACCATTGGCAGGTAAGAGATAGTGTTTTTGTAAATTTGTATTCAAGAATTCCGCGAAGCTATTATTTATTTCTTACTTTAATACTCTTCATTTTTTAGATTGTTCCTGGTGATCCGTTAGATCAGACTATTGTTTTGAGACCTTTGGAACCAAGCCCTGCGCAGCATTTAGCAAGAGATTTCATGGTGAAAACTAGACGACGCAAGGGACTCTCGGAAAATGTATCGATAAATAAGGTAATATATGCTTTCAATCAGGTGCTAATTTTTATTTATGCAGTCTTCCATTCCATTACTCATTCACAAATTATAAAAATTCCAATCTCCGTTCTGTAGTTTTTCGATGATCCGTGAGTTTTCCCATTAATCTTAGTCGTATATAGCAAGTTTTCAGAATATCTAACATAATTTTTTATCCTGCAGGTTACTTTTGGCTGTCGCACAAACTGATGTTCTTGGTAGTGGATTTACTCTATAGTCGGACATACAATTTAGTCACATCAATAAAATTTTGATCAACTTTAAACCTTTTCACACTTTTATAAAATGCATGTATCTAAAAAAAAAAACTCTTTGTATATCGATAAATTAGCTCACCAGTTTCCAGTTTATGAAAGCCGATTTCAGTTTGCTTAATTTTTCAGAGTAATAGCAGTTCAAAGTTCGCCACTTTTCATATATCGCCATTGATCTGAATCTTTGTCAGAATAAAGTACAGTCTCCCTATAATCACACCTTCGGGACATGAAAAAAAACTGATTATAAAGAGGCTGTGACTATATGGAGGTCAAACTTCTTATGTTTCTATTATACATTGATCAATAATTGTGGCAGATCATGATGATTACAGGATCATGGTGATTTTAGGATCATGGTGATTTTTGCAATATCTATTGTAAAATAATATAAATAAAATTTTACTATTGGTCCTGATAAAACCAGTTCATAAATCGATCTTTTTATTCATGTGATTCTTATGCAAATCATTTTATTTCGCATAGTTTTATATACAAAATGATGATTTTTTGAGTGCAAGAATTATTAATTGGAAAAAAACTAGTCTTTTTATTTTTTTATTTACAAATACTCTATAATTCTTACTAATATTAATTATGGATATCTGGTAATTATCTATTATATATCAATATTTGTCTTTCTTAAATATCATAATAATTTTATCTTGATATATTCACATCTTATTTTTTGTTTTCATTTTATAATGATCAACTTATAAAATTACAAATATATTTATACTGACTTGTATTATAATCAAAATTAAAGATACTCACTGAAATTTCTGCAAAAATGTTTTGGCGGAGTTTTGATGAATTAAGATCTTTCAAATAACAAAGAAATTTTTTAGATAATGATCAGGATGATATTTACAAAGTAATAAAAATCAAAATAATATTGATTATAATCTTTTAAATAATAATGATAATTAATCTATAGCTAATAATTTAGCTTTTAATATTTAAAATTTCCAAAAAAATATATTAAGTATAGTTTTTATTAGGTTATATTATATTCTATTTTATTATATTCATAAAATAAAAGAGATCCTAGTTTATTTGTATAGCAATATTTTGATACTAAAACATCAAGTTATTCTAATCAACTTGTTTACAAATAAGATAAAGTTATCTTTATATTTAAAATAATAATTTTGACTTTGCGATATCATTTAAATCTATATAATATTACTATATCAAAATAATATCAAAAAACTCTATACAATTATTACAATAATTTCTATATAGAATATGAATAACAAAAATAAATTGAATAATATATAATATATAATGATTTATTATTGTAGATAATAACAAATAGTAAAAGATAATTTCAAAATTTGATTCAAAATATATTTTCATAAAAATTAAATTATAACTTTGTATAAAAAAAATATAAATAAAGTGTAATAATTTTTATATACTCTTGTAATTTCTTGTATTATATTCATCATTTTTCATGTTATATTTATCATTTTTTGTATAATATGTTAGAAATTAACACAGATTTATATTTAATATTTCTTAATATTTTATCAAATAGATTAGATATAAAATATAAATCACATTATTAATTTAGACACATCTTGTTTTTAATTTCTTTTCTTTTTATTTGTTCTTTTCTTTTTCATTTATTATTTTTAAATTTGTATTAATTACTTTTTATTATTATTTATATTTTATATATACATCCCTACACTATATTATTGGAAATTGAAAAAAAATATAGTAAAACATAGTAAAATTAACATTATTACTTTATATTAAAATTTATTATTTTATTAATAAATATTTTTTATTTTTATATTAAATAAAGATGATAATTTATATTTTTAATATATATTCTTCTAGAATATTCTAGAATTTTTTAAAATTTTCTGTTCACTTGTAAACATAAAAAAAAATTTTTTATAATTAAAATTGAAAAAATTGTAATTTTAATTATAAAAAATTTTTTTCTATGTTTACAAGTGAACAGAAAATTCTAAAAAATTCTAAAAAATTCTAGAAAAATATAGATTATCATCTTTATTTAATATAAAAATAAAAAATATTTATTAATAAAATAATAAATTTTAATATAAAGTAATAATATTAATTTTACTATATTTTACTATATTTTTTTCAATTTCCAATAATATAGTGTAAAGATGTATATATCTAATTAAGTATAGCATAACTTAAAGATGCATCATCTTTAAGTTTAATAATTTAGAACCAATTACTCTCTATTTTATTATTAATTTATTTGTAATTCATTTAATATTAATTATGTATTTAAATATTTCTGTTCTATACTATAGCTTTTTAGATTTTTTTACTATTTAATAAATAAAAAATAAGCTTTATTAAAATTAAAATTGAAAATTATCTTAATTAATATAATTTATTTACAATAATTAATAAATTTATCTTAATACTTTTCATGTAAGAAAGTATTCTTATATAAAGCTTGTTATAAATAATATATCTAAAAAAAGTAGTTTTTATAGTTGATATATGAATAACAATAAATAAAATAGTTTTTTTAATTTTATTATTCATTATATTAATACTTTATAAAAATTAAAAAACTTTCTTGATATTATTTTAATATCTGTATATTATATTAAATTAAATATAATAAATGTTATAATAATAATTTTTTGTAAGTTTAATTTAATGAAAAAAACTTTAGCATTAACAATTAACAATATAATATCAATAATTTTTTGTGATATTTCCATAACAAAGAAACTTGAAAAAGAATTTAATAATCTGAATTTTGCTTATTATTAATGTATTATTTATTTAATAAATGAATTTGTAAAAAAAAGTAAAAACTTTAATAATTTATATTAAGTTCTTATTTTATAAATAAAACTCTAAAAATATTATATAAAGTAAAAGAAATTATTTATTTGGTATTAAACCTAGATAAAATTCTACTTATTATATATTAAAAAAGTGAATAAAAGTAAAAGTAGCTTTGAATTTACTTATGACAAACAATTAAATAGTATATTAATAATATTTTAATAAGAATAATCACAAAAAAATCAAAAATATAATATTTCTTTTAAAGTTATTTAAACATGCTTTTAGCTTTTTTTTGTATTCAGTTATTCAATTTATAATAATATTTATTTTGTCTTTTTTTTAAGAACACTTGATTCAATATATAAATAATAGTTTTTTACAAAATATAATAACAAATACAATTTATTAAAAACTCAATAATTATTAATTAATTATAAATGAAGTATTGCAATTTTATTCAAGAACAAAATTATTCATATTTAAAAACTGAATAAAAAAATAAAGCAAAAAATCTAATTTTGAATTTAACTAATAAATATGCTTTAATATTACAATCAAATGCAGATATAACAAGAAATAATTTTATAGATAATTAAAATTATTTTGAGTAATTGCAAGATAGGGATACTTTTAAATTTTTATTGTCATCAAGTTCAATAAATAATATAAAAAATAAGCTGAAAAAGTATTTGATAATATTTTTGAAAAATTAGATTAATCTATTACTTTGATGGAGAATGTAACAATATAATTATTCAAGTTTAAGTCAAATTACAAGAGATTATTTGTTTATTTAAGCAACAAATATAATATTGGAGCAAGTTTTCTCTATAGCTGGAAAAATCATTTCAAAAATAAAAAATAGATTGAAAAAAGAAATTGCAAGAAAAATTTTATATTTATAGTTATTTTTTTCTTAAAATTCTAATAAAATAATAAATAATATACTTTTTTTGAATAATTATAGTATATAGATGGTTATTAATTATATAATTGATAATTATATGATTATAATCAATTTTATAAAAAGATTAGATTTTTTGAACTGGATTAAACTAATTCATTTCTAGTTTAATTAGAATCAGAAAGATTATAATATAACAAATATTTGTTATATATATTGATATATATTATAAATTTTACAAAAATGTCAATAACTTCAGGAATTTTTTGGCCAAAATTATGAAATTTTGGCCAAAGAATCTGTAAAGATCTGCATAACTCGGGCCAAATTTTCATTATAATCTGATTATAGTTAACTCTCGATATAGTAAAGGACTAATTAAACTCGATCTAATAGCCCGAACATCTTCACTATAACGAGGTTTGACTGTATCACCATGATTCCCTACAATAGTTTTATGCAGTTACATTATTTGTCACGTGTAGTAGTATGGACTCAATTGGTGAACCAATAGTGTTTGTACACATGGCAAATCAAAAAATAAAAAAATATATAACGAATTTCCCAGTCTAATAAAGTCAGTTTATCTACAACAAGAAATCATGAAGTGGCACCCTCGTCTTTTCGCTTTTCTTTTAGCTGCTGCTGTTGCTGTGGCAGCTGCTGAAGAGTCCCAAACAACCACTACAACCATAACTGATACATCACCTACTCCTGAAGTAGACAGAATAAAATTCGAGGTATATAGAACCCTATTAAATATAGCATCTTTCGTTTTTTACGTGTCTTGAAATATATAAAATATGCATAAACAACCTCTTAAATTCAACAATGAACGTTCTTTGTACCCCTGAACTAACCTAAACTGGCTATTTACACCTTAGGCAACAATTATCAAAGCACCCTTCTTGGAACAATTCACCTCCGACTGGTCGAAGCGCTGGTCACCAAGTGAAGCCACAAAAGAAACCAAAGACCGCGGCGAGGTATTTAGCTATATTGGTGAATGGGCAGTTGAAGAACCCACGATATTACCAGGTATCGAAGGAGATACGGGTCTCGTGGTGAAAAGTGTAGCTGCTTTTCATGCAATATCAGCTCCATTTGATGAACCGCTTGACAATACGGATAAAACGCTGGTGATACAGTGCGTAATTTTTTGATTTAATTATTAAATTTATTAATTAGTTGATTGATTAATCAATTAATGGTTGATATCTAATAAACCAAAGGTATGAAGTAAAACTTCAGAAAGGATTAGAATGTGGCGGTGCCTACTTGAAACTATTGACAAAATCGGAAAAGGGTATTCAAGCCGAAGAATTCTCGGATCAGACTCCCTATACGATTATGTTTGGTCCGGATCGATGTGGAAACACTAACAAGGTACACTTTATTTTCCGACATAAGAATCCGAAAACGGGTGAATATGAAGAAAAGCATTTGACCGGTGCACCGTCTGCTAAACTGTCAAAGACTAGTACGTTGTATACGTTGATAGTCAGGTAAATATCTTTATTATTCGGCGAAATAAATTATAATACTTTATTTATTAGAATGCTGATATATTAATATATTTATTTTTTTCTTAGGCCTGATAATTCTTTCGATCTCCAAATCAATAATGTTAGCGAAAAGAGCGGCAGTTTATTAGAAGATTTCACGCCACCTGTTAATCCTACTAAGGAGATCGATGATCCTAATGGTATGATAAAAATTCAAAATTTCATATTGAACTCTACGTACAAATGCTAAAATATATATTTAAACATTTAGACAAAAAACCAGCTGATTGGGTTGACACTGTAAAGATCTCTGATCCAGGTATTTGCGAATCAACACCAAATTTTAAATGCAAATTAAATAATAAATATAGAATAACAGTATCTATGCATCTATAAAGATGCAAAAAAACCTGATGATTGGGACGAGGATGCCCCACAATCTATTCCCGACGAAGATGCAGTCAAGCCTGACGACTGGTTAGAAGATGAACCAGAAACTATTCCTGATCCGGATTCTAAAAAACCCGAAGATTGGGATGATGAAGAAGATGGAGATTGGGTTCCACTCACAATCGAAAATCCGAAATGTGAAACTGTGTCTGGTTGTGGTCCTTGGAAACGTCCGACCAAGCGCAACCCTGCTTATAAGGGTAAATGGTATCCACCTATGATCGATAATCCAGCATATAAAGGCTTATGGGCTCCTCGTAAGATTCCGAATCCAGATTATTTTGAAGATTTGAAACCTGCTAAATTTGAGGAAATTGTAAGTGATGTTTTTTAATATTCTATTTCAAATGTACATAATACATATGATTAAATATGGTTTGGTTATAAACAAATTCAGGCTGGTATTGGATTTGAGCTTTGGACCATGCAAAACGATATTCTCTTTGATAACATTTATATTGGTCATTCTGAGGAGGATGCAAAAAAATTCGCAGAAGAAACTTGGGCAGTTAAATATAAAATTGAAAAAGCTGCCGAGGATAAGGATTCTGACATCCCTGATGACATTGATGTAAGTTTCAAGAATTCAGACAGACGTTTTACTATTTTATCGCTAATTATATAATATTATTTTCTAATAGTCTTCACCCACATTCTGGGACGATCCTATCGAATTTTGCCAATATCACGTTAATCAATTCCTTTCTTTACTGTTTGAGGAGCCACTTGAAGCTCTCAAGACATATCCGGAAACTGCTGGAATTTTGGGTCTGATTATTGTCATCCTCTTCTCACTCATTGGAATATTGTTTAGTTTATTGACTCCCACCAAAAAGGTATTCAAAGATTTCTGTTTTTATTTTGTCTAGTTCTATTCTATCTCTTGTTAATTTCTCGCATCAATACATAATTTTTTTGTTTAATTGATAGCTGGTTGTTCCGCACAAAAAGACTGACGAACCCACACCTGATGACCCGGATGCTGATGTTGGGGAAACGAGCGCAACCAAAGACGAAGGCAACGAAGGCGACAACGAAGATGACGAAACAAAGACCAAAGCCAAAAAACGACCAAAAAGAGAAGATTAAGATTGTACGCACTACTTTAATCAGTTGTTATAATTATTAATTTCTTTATTCATCAATGTTTGAAAGTGAACATTCCTTAAGCTTGTTCACCAAAAAGAACAGTAGCAGTGTTACCATTATTTTTATCACTATTTTTTTTTCTATAACTTAGAATTGTTGGGTTTTTGGTATTATTGTTAGTAATTGATGGAAATAGGTGGGTGAGTCGATGTGCCTACTCCTTCGATTTCCTGGTAGTAAATTGTGAGTGTATGGCGCACCTTACCATTTAAGATTTATTTTTTTAATATAATTAGATTGAATTAAGCGTTTGCAGGTTGGCCGCTTTATCTTTCAATTAACACAGAAATAATTTAACGAAATTTCTAGCTGCTTTCCTCTTTCAAATATATTAAAGACTTTGAGTATAAAATATTTTTTCCATTAATATAATAGATAATATATCTTTCTATAGTTTTCATCAAAATAGATGAAGATAAACAATCATATGCTGTATAAAGTATCCTCCTCTGTAAAAACTTTGCCATTTAACCTCAAAGCCATTCTTTCAGTAATAAGAAATGCGCTGTGAATCTTGAATTATTCATTTGGCAGAAAAAATAATCGTTTACTAAAAAATTGAAGTTTCTACAGGGGATATTTCCAAAATTGTCTTTAATTCGGCAATTCTTATCTCCCGAAATAGTTGAAGTTTTACTCGATGCTAGCAGACATTAATAACAATAATAACGAGACTAATTGTTCAAATAAATTAAAAAGCTCCAAAATTATTCATTCCATTCCAACCATGATTCGCATTTGTACCTAACATCCCAGCATTAGTAGTACTTCCATGCAAATTATTTGCATGTGAAGATGATGGTGTTTGCTGATGACCTATGAGAAACCCAGCGGAATTGACACCGATACTACCATTACGTGAAATTTGTTGAAAGTTTTGGGACGTTAATGTATTATTATTGGTATTTTGTTGTAGTTGTGGTTGCATCATTAGTAATGGTGATGATTGATGTAGTGGCTGTTGCTGCGTCTGCTGTATTCCGAAATAAGATGATGCGGGTTTTTGTGTTGGTGTACCAAATGATTGCGTGGATGACGTTAATTGTGATGATCGCGCTGAATTACCTAAATTAAGATTACCAAATGAAGGCATTAATTCCGAAAATGGTGTTGTGTTGCCAGATCCTGACCCTGATCCCATTATTGAATTATTATTATTGTTGTTGATAAAAGAAAGTGAATTTTGTTGTTGTATATTGGTGCTCCCTCCTCCTCCTAAGCCTAATAGAGGATTATTTTGTAATCCAATTGACTTTAAAATAAAGATTGAATTTAGTAGGATTATCAATGATAGAAACGCACATTAACAAAAAAAACTATTATCACTCACATTATGAATATTATTTGCACTACTAGCGGAGGTGGGAGTCATGCCCATTCCTAGCCCTTGACTAAATCCGTTAATGTTCGTAAAAGCATTATTATTATTGCTGATGTTTTGATTATTTGTGTTGAAATTATTTTGTGCTAATATTAATTGTTGTTGTGTAGGTATATTAATTCGATTTTGAGCTAATCCTGAATTTGTGCCACCACTGAATTGTGATGATGTATTATTACTGATGTTACTTCGGACACTTGAATTTGAAGAAATAGAATTGTGTCGTGAATTGACGGCGCTGTTGTTGTTATATAATGAAAGTATGGAGTTTTTGTCGAATCTGTTTTGGTTTGTTGATTGTTGTAGCAATTGTTGTTGTTGTTGCTGCTGCTGCTGCTGTTGTTGTAGTAATTGTTGCTGTTGTAACAATTGTTGCTGCTGTAATTGCTGTTGCTGCTGTAATTGCAATTGCTGCTGTTGTTGAATAGACAAACCTAAAAAAATTACGAGAAATTAATCACCGATTAAAAAGATATACAAAATTTTAATTGATAAAAAATAAATACCAAAGAGATTATTATTTTGTCCAAATGAGGCTAAATTTGATGTCTGTTGAGACAATAACGGATTTAAAGAAGAATTGGATAATTGTTGCTGTTGTTGAGATGGTGTATCAATAAGCAGTGAATTTTGTGATTGCTGGTTATTTTGAGTTAACGGTAATTTATGCTGCCGTCGTTGTGAATCAAGTTGCGCAGTCCCATTAAGACTACCATTTGAACCAGTGGATCTTGGACCTTGAATTGTATTAGAGACAGTAACGGGAGATCCAGTTTTAGGTGGTTTTGATCGCTCGTCATTTAATATCGCGGCAGCAACTTCAACATTTCCACCAGTACGTCGTAATGCATCACGATTCTTGGGTTCATCATGAAATCCCAAATTCCATAATGCAGTAACCTTGTCCTCGTCCGACATTGACGACGATCGTCTTACTTGGGAGGGCTTCGCTGCCACGCTATTCCCACCTCCACTACCACTACCACTACCACTACCACTACCACTACCACTACCACTACCAAACGGCAATCTAATCAAAACCTCAATCGCAGCATTAAGATCACCATCTGTCGTAGACAAAATATCATGATTTCGAGCCGTATCAGTGAACCCCATATCTTGAAGTTGACGTAGCGCACTCTCGAATTCGGATTTACTGGTGTCTCCTCTGTCGGAGTATGTGACAATTGGCTCAGCACGTTTCACTGGCGAGATTACTGATGAGACTGACGATGATGTGTTGGAACGAGAATTAACGGGGCGATTTTTTGATTGTGGTGGCTATTTTATGTATATATAAAATTAAAATAAATTCACTTCGCGTATCTTCTTAATTTCTTTGGAGACTCTTGATTATCCATAATATAACATACCTTTGGATCCATGAATGCCTTTCTCTCATATTTATTTCGAATATATCGTTCCATTTCACTAACAAAAAATTGTCATTTTAGCAACGAACTAAACATAAAACCCCGGGCAAATTTTTCTTTTTATCTTTACCTATCGGAAGCATTCACAGGAACATGATTTAATTCTGGCCGAGGATTCCATTTAGCATTTGATTTCAAGTTACCCCATTGTTTCATATTCTAACAATAGCCATCAGAATGAACAATTCAGTATTAAGAAATTCTCGACTTACCAACTAAATGAATACTAATAATAGATTAATTAATTAATACACGCATACCTCGACTTGATCAGGCGTCCAAGAATCCAACGATATAGATTTAACTTTGGAAATGTGTGTTCCCATTTTACGATGTATACTTCCGCATCGTATACACAGGAATACCCCGATACTATGTGATGCCCAACGAGGTGCTATTCGAAAATTCAATTATCAAATTCAATATCATGAAATATTAAAGAGTTCGTTATATTTTCTAGAATACCTTTAGCACCACAATCAGCACACACATCGTTCCCTGGTTGTTTTGTCATTTCTAATAATATCCTTTCATGTTTTTCATTTACAACTTTTTTTGCTCGATCCAATGCCATAATTATTTCTTTGATGGGATTGTTTGTTTTATTGATTAGATTTGCTTTATTTATTTTAAGATCGCGAATAGTTAGTAAAATAGAATATATTTGATAGTATGTAATAGGCTCTTTATATTTAGAGAAATACAAGTTTACTAATATAAAGAAGACAAAAAAGCAGTCGCAAAAAAATGACAAGTTTATAACCGAGTTGAAGTATATCGATATTAAAAATATTAATGTTAAATTGATAAATAATAATGATTAGTTGTACATATTGGTGTTGTGTAGGCTGTGTTTTGTTTTTTCGCCTTGTGTTCCCTTTCTTCGTGCGCCCAAATCACGATAATCGGGTTTTACTTAAATCATGAGACTGGGGAATCTAATGGCATTTTACTCTTGCCATTGGTGCCGATAGAAATGGTGGTATTCTATGGCAGTATCCAAAATATGCATGATAACTATTTTTGTTAACGATATAGTTTATCTCCATTACTCTTCGATTATGTTTATTTCGGTGAATAATCCGGTTGTTTTATTTTTTTCACGCGCGTTAATCTTTTTATTTAAAAAGTAGCCGAACTGCGTTAAGTACTATAACTATTTCCTTATTGTATATATTACAATTCCATTCAAAACTGCACCATACTAATCATGTCAAATCCAAACTCAACTACTGCAGTAGGAAACCGTTTCACATTTCGTGTATTAAATCTTTTACTTGCAACAAATGCTGATGTACAAATAACTCCGTAAGATTGATTTATTCTCTTACTCGGTTGATTATTGTTTTATATTGTTTTATATATCTGAAGTTACGCTGCCTACTTCTTATATGCCATAAAGAACTGGAAGCGCATCGTGGCCACACTGGGTGCATACTTTGTATGACGAGTGTGAACGTCCTTCTTTATTCCGTCGTATAGGGACTAGGTGAATAGGATATATGAGCCAACAATTTTTACTGATAAAATTTTCTTTGCTTATTAGGGCTGGGGTAGGTGATCGAGGCGTACTTTTTTTGAAATCAATATTGTCAATAATGCACACATTCCAAATGTTTTCTCCTTGTTGCAATCTTTCTTTTGGCTTCCAATCTTCTTTCATGGTGTTGTGTGTGAGAAACAACATTTGCTGTACAAAGAATCATGTAAAGAGAACTTAAAAGATTCAGTTTCTGACATAAAGAGCTCATAATGTGAGTTAACCATATATTAATTCCTGGAAATGCAATTGTCAAGATCACATATCATAAAAATCAAAATTTTAATTGAACGAGTTGCATCAAAATTCTTTATGCCAAGTTCTCTTTGTTGTCATTTTTTTTGTACAATTTCATATTTTTTTTTTTTGCAGAAAAGTTATAAAACCATCAAAAAAAATCGCAAAAACTATTACGATACTTCTCAAGTGATTGTGGTGTTTCAAGTGAGCTTTTTTTCTCATATATCAGTACGTGACTTCCATGTTGCTAATGCAAGCGCTTCTCCTATTTTTCTTGAATTGTCATCTGATAACTTATATACAAAATATTCATCTGTTAATTTTTTTGTATTTACTTTTTTCAATCATAGCATTGTCTTAACCAAGAGTAAACTAGGAGATGATATATTGTTTTCGAATTCATTTTGTCAAAGATTGTACCAAGTGTTGAACTTACTTCTAATAATATGTTGCTTTTATGTTTTCATAATTTGATTCAGCTACATCAAGTATCCACCTTCCAAGCAATTTAAGTGCCTCAGTATTATTCCGGTTGTGTTTTTTATGACATGAAAAAGACCTTGCACCACTTCCTTTTCGTTCAAACAGATGATCATCTTCAGTTTGAAAGCATTCAGAGCAAATAAAACGTGGGTGTCGATAGATAGAAGATTTGGCAAATTCCTTCTTGTTTTTATTATTATTGCTGAATCCTGAACATACTTTAAATCTTATACAAGGTGCTTGCACATCCTGACCATTAATGTTCATCACATGTTTTATACAACTCTTGCCACGGCTAAAAAAATATTTGTCTCTATAACAAAACAAACAGCATCATCAATAAATATAGCTTTCTTTTACTGAACGAGAATGTTTCAATTCTTTTTTTATATAATCTATTTTGATCGAATAACAAATGTGCCATACAAATACCTAATGTATGTAGCATATTTTCAGTATTGGTTTGATCAATAACACTTTCGTCAATTTTCCATGTCCCTACAAGTTGTCAAAGGGGACGAAGTTGATGTCCTGGCTTTTCATAATTTGGACAACGTTTTAACTCTCCATTATAAACGTCCATTAATACACAAGGAACAAAATTATTACATAATGTTTCACTTATAATGTAATCATTTTCGTATGTCTCAGAAGTAGAAATTGAATTTGTTGAATTAAAGTCACTTTGAGCTGAGTCTACATTTTCCCATGTTAATTCATCTTCAGCATTATTTTGAATATCGGCAACTGTTCAGACATTTTGCAAAGCAGTATAATCAAACGTAAATTCATAAGCACTATTACTTGAGGAAGCCATTGGAACAGAAACTTCACTAGCATTATCTGGTGTGAAACTATAGTCATCGTTATCAAGTCAGTCATAATCTTTATCCGGGTCATCACACTCAAACTCACTGTTGCTTATATAGTCAGCAAGAGCCTCATATCCCCACGCACTAATATTTTTGTTCTTAGAAGCCATGAAGTTGAAAGAGAGTTTACCGCTACAAGTTTTTCTGGAAACACCAACAACTAATTTTGCCAAACTTTGAAAAAAAGATCGTTTAAAGGTTATGCTTATTACAATATTTTTATATGAACTATTATATAAAAAATATTCGCACCTTCACTTCTCATCTATTAAAAAATTACATTTATTATAGATTCAATTACTGTCGATCCTATATGAATGTAAGTAAATGTGATAATTGAGGGACATTTCTTGTGTTCGTTAATGATTATATATAATTTTATACAGTAAGAATTAATGAATCATCTTACTACTGTTCACGTTAATATACACTTTACTATAGACAAATTCTTATCATGAAAAAATACTTCATTTGTCAAGCTCAATTGATGTATGTGGCAAGGGTGGCAAAACAAATCCGAAAAAAATACGGTAAACAGGCGTCTAAATCAAACTTGAAGCACTAATTAAAAATGTCGGGGAGACAATTTTATATATAAGTTTGGCTACAGTCCTAATCCTAATTCAAATTTAAAACAAGCTTTAACGTTAATTAAAATTTTTCCGTAACATCTGATTAATCAAATTAATAGTACAGTAAAACTTCTCTAAGTGGCACCTCCCGGGACCATAGAGAGGTTTTGCTGCACGTATTTTTTTCATATAAAAAATCCTTTGCAATTCAACCATAGTAGAAACGAATTCATTTGCCAAACCTGTGTCAGGGCTGTGGCGTGTGACGGAAAATTCCTTTTCTCCTTGATAAATACGACATTCCTTAATTTAAATCTTAAAATATTAAATCATTACAGCGATATAGGGCAACACATAAAATATTCCCTTTTCAATTGAATTCAAAGATATTCCATTTTGATATTTTTCACGAGTTCATATTTTATACATATTGTTTTATTATGTCTCCCATCCCATCCCATCCCATCCTAGACCGAATCTACATATGCTGGTTGTGCCAATATCAATGCTAGAACTTGTACTCATTTTTTGCGACCTGAATTAGAAATAAATATATATACTTAACTTTATTAATACCAAATGTGATAATATTAACAGTGATAATTTCAAAATTGATATGACGGACAAATATTGGCATTAAGGATTTGATGAAATGCCTGCCTAAATTATTAAGGCTAATATTTAACTGCCGTAATTCAAAAATTTCAACGGCAACTATATATTCAAGTGTGTATTTCTAGCAGTTGACTAAATATATTAATTAAAATTTTCAAATTATTAATTAATCAAGTCTATTGAACATCACCAACACAGCAGTCAAAAACACCACAAAAGAACCGTTAATAGTGGCCATTGGGATATTAGTAATAGCAGTGTTCTTACTACCGGTGGGAGTTGCAGTTGAAGTTGGAGACGTAGCGGTAGACGCATTAACAGTGGATTTAGGACCATCCGATTTATTACCACCAGATTGACTTGAAGTGGGAGTTGAAGATGATCTTGAAGTGGGAGTTAAAGATGATCCTGAAGTGGGAGTTAAAGATGATCCGAAAGTAGACGTAGGCGCGGTAGCAGTGTACTTCTTCGGATCGGTAGCTGAACAATTTCTTGTACAACCATCTGTACAATCTTTATTTCCGGGCGGACAATTTTCTTTACAAGCCTGCTCTTGTCCGCTACATATGAAGAAGGGAATGGTTTGGGTATATTCTATTTATTATTTCGGAAACAAATTAGAAATAATCCATGTTAATCGATAAAAGTAGATAAAGATAAACACGGCCATAATAAATAAATAATAAATTACCGGTCGAATTTGGAGAGTATCCGTTCATACAGAAGCATTGATAGTCCAGGGTCTCTGCATCACATGTATTTCTTTCAACATCCACGTTATTATCGTTACAAAGATTTACGCATGATGATGTTTGAGAAACACACCAAATATTTTTCTGCTCTATGGGAATATTCGAGACTATAATAATAATAGTAATGATTAATCAATCATTCTCGACATAAATAATGAGAATTTTTGTTTTCATGTAAATGATAAAAATTATTATAATGCTAAAAATTGTTATAATCTTACTAATTTTAGAATTGTATTCTCTAAAGCATGCTTAAAAAATTTGCTTATTACCATTTATATAATAGTATGTATAATGAAAATGATTTAAATATCTCAAACTATCATTTATAAAAATTTTAATTAAGAAAGCTTATTAGTATTTTGCAAAAAATTACATAAAAATTACTCAAATAACGAATTATGTTGCTAAACTAACAGCGAATTATTATAACTTGAATCAAACTATTCAATTTTTTCCTTAAAGCTTGTTAAAAACACAATAAAGCAAAAAAAATTCATTATTTCAAAATGAAAAAACCTACTGTTAAATTCGGTCGCGTTGCTTGTGATAATAAACACCGAAGTTACAATCGCAAAAATAAAATACGATTTAACCATTTTAGTATTAGTATATTAACGTTAAAGACGAAGTAATAACAATAAAGAAAAACATCTATGTACACTGTGTACACCCCAGCTCATTTTTGATTAGATGAATTTTTTGTGACTTGCTATGCCTTATTTAGCAGGTATCTCCGTAGAAAAATCGATTTTGTTAGGTTTGAAATTTTTTTATTGTGGTTTCTTCATTATCTGAATTTTCATTAATTTCTCTAGAAAAGTATTTTTAATATTCATAGTAATATTGAAATATCTATTATTATAGATGGGTGTCTATTTACGAATTATGGAATGTCGATATGACGTAATATTTTCGGCATACTTTCCTAAATGTTCGGTGTCAAAATTATTTTAACTGTTATAATTCAAGTCTATCAAATTTGATTTTAGTAAATATGCCGAATTTATCAGTATATCGAATTTATTTTAGTATGTTGAATTTATCTTAGTATACCAAATTAATTTTAGTATACTGCATTATTTAATATGACGAATTAAATTTCTTTTAATGTTGAATCGATTTTAGATCAATCAAAAATACATATTTTCCATTTTTATTTATTTTATTCAGACGCATAAAAATATTTTTTAGCAGCCCAAAATACTTTAGACATGCTAAACTATTTTAAATAACTTAAATAACTTGCATATTTATGACACGCCGAAATATTTTAGATGACTTAAATATATGTTACATTAAAATATATACATTCAAAAATTAGATTGCCGAAATATTGACAGTTATCGTGTCAAAAATATTTAAACACCCATCTATATCTACAGTTGGCGACAAAAGTTTTCAGAATTTATGTTTTTATTTGTATTTTGATAAAATTTTATGAAAATTTAAAGAAACACACTATGAGATATGGATAGTGGATTTATTTAGGCTAATATATGGAATGTCTTATTGATATTTTTTTAATTGCTTTAACTTTAAAAAAATATAGTAATAAAACTTTAAGAAGGAAAATATAATTATAATAATTTTAACATAATTATTTATTATATGATCTTGAATAAACTTGCTTTTTTATAAAAAATGTGTTTTTATATTTTTATTTGACTTATTTATTATAGTTCTGGCAGAAAGTAATAACAGTCAGTTTTTTATTATATTTCATTTGATAATATCTTTCGAATGGAACATTATATTTCTAAAATATCAGTTAATATAAAATTTAATGATCTAAAAATTTTGTAACTTGAATATTTTTAACTTAAAAAAAAAAACTAAAAATCATAATAATTCAATAAATATTATTCTGATTAAAATAAAATTACTACCAAAATATTAAAACAAAGTAATAAGATCAAAATTATATATTAATTATTAAGAAAATAAGTTTTGAAAATTTTATAAATCTGCAATTAAAAAATTGATTTGTTATAATATGCTTCTATTAAATTTTCACAAATTTATTACATTTTTATTTTTTCTTGCTAGAATTCTAGTATTTTATTTACAATAGCTAACAAAATTATAAAATATAGTAAAAATTAAAATTTTTATTTTATATAAAAGTTTTTAATTTTATTAATAAATATTTTTTATTTTTATATTAAAATAAAAATTATAAGTTATTGTTTAATATATATTTTTTAGATTTTTTCTGACAAAGTTGTTCTAATTACAAAATTATTACAAAAATTTTTTATAATTAAAATATAAAAAAATATATATTAAACTATAATTTATAATCTTTATTTTGATATAAAAATAAAAAATTTTTATTAATAAAATTGAAAATTTTTATATAAAATAAAAATTTTAATTTTTATTATATTTTATTAATAAAATTATATGCATGATTTCATAATTTTGTTAGTTAATTATAATATATAATAACTCTAATTCAAAAAATATATAATGATAATCAAAAATAATATAATAATATTAAAATTTATTAATTAAATATAATAAAATACAGATTTTTCTCTTCATATAAAAGTTTTTAATCTACTAATAAATATTATATTAAAATAAAGATAATATTACATATTTTAACATATATTTTTTAGATTTTTTAGATTTAATCTGATAAAGCTAATTTATATTTAATTTAAAATCAGTATATAATATTATCTACTGATTTGTAGCTTTAAATATGAACTATAACTTAATTATATATAATTTATAATATTTAATAAAAATTAAAAATTTATTTAATAACTACTAAAATAATTTTATTTTATTATAAATTTTATATAACTTTTTAAATATTTATTATTAATAATAATTATTATATATAAATTTGTAGCTTATATTTTTATTTTGTTTAGAATTATAATTTATAATATAAATAAAATAAATTAAAATTATAAATATTTTTTAAATTTATATAACTTTTGAATATTTATTCTAAATATTAACTATCTTATATCAATTTGTAGCTCTATAAGTTTACTTAAAATATTTATTTGAACTCAAATCAAACTTTTTATTTGATTCAATTTTGGTTTAAAGCTCAAACTAAATTCAAAACAGATTTTTAATTGGATTTAAATTTTCAAACTGGATTTTTGATTTAATTTGAGTTTGATTCAAGTTTATACTAAATTAAATTCAGAATCCTACTTTGAATCTTTCTTAAATATATTAAAAATTTGATTTAAATTTAGTTTAAACTTTAAATTTTTCTTGAATACACCAAAAATTTGGTTCAAATTTAATTCAAGTTCAATTTAAATTTGAATTTGAATTCAAGTTTAATTAAATTTGCTAAAATAATTATTATATTTATATATTATATAATAATTTTTTAATAATATTAATAATATGCAAAAGTTAGAATTTGAATTTGAATTAAAATTATTTGACAAAAAATATATTTATAATAAAATTTTGCAAGAAATATTTATTAGAATACAAAAATAGTTTTATAAACTAAATCTTAAATACAAAATTTTTTTTCTTAATATATTATTATTTTGTTATTTTTTTAATTTTTGTATTATATATTAATCTTGTAATTTAATTAATTATTATTACTAATATTATTAAAAAATTATACTTTTAAAGATTATTCTGATAAATTTATGAAAAATATATGATATTTTTACTCCAAAATATATAATATTTTTACCCCAAAATATATTATATTTTTATTTGTTAAAACTATAATATATATTAGAATTTTAGTAATATCAATTATAAAAAATATTAATTAAACTTATAATTTCACAAAATTTTACTAAATTAATTAGTTTTTGTTTAGCTAATTTTAAATCTTATTAAATCTAAGTTGTTCCAATATAAAATGGATATTATATTTAATTATTAGCATCTTAGACTTTTTAAACTTAGTATTATTATTCTCAAACAAATAGTAGAACAAATCATTCACTAAAAAAAATTAATTATAATGACTTTAATATTAATTATATTTGGAAAAAGTGTTATATTCTCAATAACTTTAATATTATATTCTGTACTTTTGAATTCATAATCTTTTTACATAATTATTACCAATGATTATTTAATTCTTATTATTATTCGAAAAAATTATCTGATTTTGTTTTAATTTGTTACAAATAATGATGAAAAAAGTGATCACTCCTAGTTTAAAAGATATGTATGAACTAGTTGAAAATGAATATTACAAAGTATAATAATTGTATATTAATTCTTGGTAACCACGTTTCAAGCTCACTTGGCAAACATAATGAGCATTTTTTTGTCCATATAATATTTTTTCTTTTGCATCCTGTACCAACATTATATGCAAACTATGCTTCTTTGAATAATCGAAACTTGTGATAATTGAATAAATGTGATAAATATTATAATGATTAGACACTGGTTTATGTCGACGAAAAAATAACTAAAATTCATGACGTCCTATTATTATTTATCGTTGTCATTATCGTTATTGTAATACCATCGCGTTCAAAGGATCTCGTGATCTAAATCACTGATTCGATTTTCACATTTATGACTCAATGATCTGTCGATATCGCCTTAATAAATATTCGTTCAGTTCCTGTTCAACTCCGTTTCTGACTGGTGAGCTTGCGGAAAATGTGGGAATTGACGAGCTGAAATTAGATATTTTGACGAATAGATAAACAAAGAAACAGGGAAGAAGGTAGGATATTTTCATAGTACAAAATTTTAAACACAACTGCTTTATTAATACAAACCATTTTTTCCAGAGGTTTTTGTTGAATCGTCTTGAAAATGATATAATTAAAATAAATAATCTTACCTAATTTATCGAATGCCTTTGTTTCTTGTTGAACCGTTTTGGTAATGATCGTTCCGTATATGTTATCATGAATGCCTTTTTGTTCGCGTTTATTATGAAAGCAGCGTCATTTATGTCAATTCGTTTGTTCTTGAAAAAACAATTGGCATATGTATAT